GTGTGTGTGTGTGTGTGTGTGTGTGTGTGTGTGTGTGTGTGTGTGTGGTAGTGTGTGTGCATGCGCGGCTTTTACGCACCTCTGTGAAATACAGAGAGGTTCATCGGGGGCGAGGAGGTGAGGAGAAAACAAGCGGCAGACGCTGGAAGGAGAAAGGGGCGGACACCCACCAGAGCAGATCCGTACACGTGGCTGGCCGTTACACACATACACACACACACAAACACACACACGTACACACACATGCACAAATTCTTCGGTTGTTTTTCTAACACAGAGTGATGCCGGCAGCAAAACAAAGTGAAGTAGTATACATGAGATTACCCACTTCTCACTGGCATGACAACGTTTTATCAATGAGATTTTTCATTTTTCTAACACATAGAAAAAAAATAAAAAATAAACCCGAACCAACAGACTGTTCGGTTGCATGTTACCAGCTGATCCTAAAAACACGAGTCCGCTTTGGGAAAATAGATGGCCAACTACAACTGAAAAGAAGAAGTTACAACGGTATTTGGCCCAGTGGTCACTTACTAAGCGTTTTCACTGGTCACCATTTGGTTTTCAGCCTCTCGCATACGTCATGCAAGAAATACTGTAGGTGGTGATGCAGGCAAATCTCAAAACGACAAAATATGCAAATGCTTCCTGTTGCAGAAGGCAGGCTCTCTGTGATCTCTCCTGGCTGGTGTTCTAGGTGCACCATTCAGCTTCTACAGCTCCAGTGCTCTCCTTTGGTCATTTTGACGAATTGAGTCTAATGCAGCCATCTCGATTTTTTTTCCGGTGCTTTTTCTTTAGATCTATAGTTCATACCGGTGTGTAGCTGTCACGTGCCGTCAGGGTGTAGCCTTGAAAAGCATCGTGGACACGCATGGCAGCAGCGCAGCATGAAATCACACACCACGCTGGTGCAACGGAGATCAACACACCAGGAAGTGAGACAAGAGCCTTGTGGCAACAGTTGAAAAAAAAAAAGAAAAGAACCGGAGGATATTACTGTTTGCACATATTGACCACGACAAAAGAGTTAACACCCAGGAAGCAATATTCACCTGTGACGTGTTTACTAACCGGCCCGAGACAAACACCCGGCAATATTACCCCACATTAATCACACGCTATCTTACGATCTGCCCCCTTCAACCCGCATTCACAGAGGGGGTCGCAAAATAAAAATAAAAATAAATCTTTCACTTTCAGCTATCAAACAGCGCTTTCAGGCTAAGGCCACAAGACATGTCTCACTGAGCTGCACTATACACACACACACACACACACACTTTCTCACAGGACTGGTTTCCCTTCACACTAAACACAGCCGCTTGATGCATTCTACCTGTTTAAGCCAGAGAGTCACTTCTTGTTGGAAAACACCACTTTCAAATCCATAACGCAATCTTCTGAACGGCACCGTTTTTTTGGAAAATGACCAAAAGGGTGGCGCCCTGGGTACAAATGATTAACCCGTTACCGGGTTTCGCAATTGTTCTTTGGCTTATAGGGGGGGGAAAAAAAGCTCCTCTGGGCTATGGTTCCTAGAAAAAAGTTGCGATACTGCAAAGCTTCCGTTGGTTTTTCATTAGTCAGCTCAGCACATCTTAATAACTTTATGTCCATATTCAACAATAGTATTCTCCCTCATACCAGCTAGTATCCTGACAGCTCATCCACTAAATCCAGACCTTTTCTTATACATGTCCCCCTAACTATTACCCGATATTGGAAAGAGGCGCTCAGTCATGGTGGTCCTAAAGATGTGAAGCGAGGTGGATAAATGTGAGGAATGTGTGTCTCTCGGCGTTTGTCTGTGGAATTGATAAATACCAGATGCCCTCCTTCCCAGAGGTGTCAAAACATCTTTTTTCAAAAGACTGACACAAACAAGCAGCGAGCACCGTTTTTGGAGTGAAAAGGATGTGCTCTACCGCTGCCACTCTCGGGCTCCTACGGTGTGAAAACACACGAGCCTGCAATCTCCTGTGATTGGACGTCTTCCCCCGGGCGCCAAACTCTGGAGCGCCAGACGGCAGCAGAGAGGTTTTTGGGGTAGACAACAGTACTTTTGGGTAGACAACAGTACCCCGCACTTAACCTGTTCAAACTACACCTCCCGGCTTTTTTAAACAAAGGTCTAGCACCTCGTGGCGGGCCGAGAGCGAGTGGGAATTCGCCAACACGGAGATGGTAAGGACCTACCTGGAGAATCCGATGGGAAAGCTGGTCAGGGCCGAGGCGGAGGCCAGCCCCTCGCCGCCGGCCTGCAGGCCGGACGTCTCCCCCCCGTATCGTTTCTCCCCCATCCACCTCTCTCCCATCTGGGGCAGGCCGGGGTACAGGCCGAAGGGCTTCTGCTCCTGCATGGCCGCCGTCGCTGTGGACGGGGGGCTGGGTCTGTAGTGGTAGCCCGCCCCGGCCCCGACGGCCATCGGGGAGGGCATGGGGCTCGGGCCGCCCTGCAGGCACTGGGCCGGGCAGTAGCCGGGGCTGTCCTGCCGCTCCTGCTTGACCACGCCGGGCGTGCGGATGTGGATGAAGTCCGGGTCCTTCTCCTCCTTGATGACCACGCTGGAGAGGATGGAGGCTGATGCCGGCTGGTGGTGGACATGGTGCTGCTGGACCATGTGGTGGGGGGGCTGGAGCATGGGGGGACGCTGCTGATGCTGCTGATCGGCGCCGTTCACGCCGCCGTTGCTCGCCGTTTCCTTCAGCAGGCCGCTGACCGGACCCCCGTTGCCGCCATTGCCGTCTTGCAGGATGTTATCCAAGTGCGCCACCTCCGAATCCAGCTCGAAAGCGTTGATCTCCTGCAGGGAGCTGGTCAGGACCAGGTCCCTCCAGATCTCCGAGTCGTCGATCAGGTGACCGCCGCCCCCGTCCAGGTCGCACGGGCCGGCGCTCATCTGCCCACTGTACGTTCCCAGGTCCTTGTCCAGGGAGAAGATCACCTCCTGCTTGATGTGATGGGGGAAGAGGTCGGGCAGGGGGACGCCGCCCATGTCCGAGCCGCCCATCGCGGAGGCGGACGTCCGGTCAAGATCCGTGACGCGTTGATTCAACAAAGGGAAACCGTCCCCCATGCTCAAAAGATCGTCTTGTTTCTGCATTCCACCGGTATTATCCTTGGCGGTTTCGGACCCTTCGTGAGGGACCTGGTTTCGGTTGGACTCAAAGAGGCTTCTGTCGCGCTGGTCCTTGGTCCTGCCCTGTCCATTTGGAGCCGCCGCGGTGTGAGGCAGAGAGCCGGGGCCCGGCAGGTGCATGGCCGGGGGGAACAGCAAAGCAGGCGCGTCTCCCGTCTCCCCGCCCGCCTCAGGTCCCAACTCCCCAAATGTCAGGCCGCCGTCGTCTCGATTACCATTAAACTTTAGTCCGCCCTGATCCATTTCCTCATCCTGGGAACGACAGCAAGGACACAGAACGGTGAATCAAATCATAACGCACAGGAGGGAACTTAAAAAAGGCAAACGGTGAACTGAGGAAGATGAAAACACAAGGCAAGGAGGCGGTGATGAAAAATAACAAAACAGAAATATCCTCTCACTGCAAACGGATATAAGCTGCTGCGTTCAAATGCGCCACAGCAGAGTTAGAAAACTAGAATCTGAACACATATCTAGTTTTCAAGTGCATTTGGTAAAATGGTAGTGGCAACAGCCCACCCCCCCTACTCTCACGCGCGCACTGGGACCTCAGGGCAGCGGCTGGAGCTCCCCAAAACCTACCACGGTTAAAAGCCCCACATGGGATCAAAGGCCGTTGTGCAACGGAAATGATTCATGACTTCACGTTCTCTCTTCCCTCTCTTCCCCTCGTCTCTAATGAAGGGAGCCGGGACTGGCAAAACGTGCCCGGGCCTGACGTCACAGCCCGTGCCACTGACAGTCCCCCTCGCGCGGAAAACATGTGCGCAACAACGCGCGTCTGCCCCCCCCAAAAAATAACATAAAATAAAGAGATCAACCCCCAGGTCGGAGAACTTTGCGCATTCCAGGCTGGCGCAATTTGCAAAGCAAAAGCTAATTAACAACCAGATCCAAACTTTGCCAGCTCAGCGTAAAAGACATAGGCTATAGGGTTACCGACGGACGGACGCACGTACGCGCGCAGCGGGCCCACCTCAGACATATACGCTGAACTTCTGCGGCCATTTAACGCCCCGCAAATGTGGAACCGCGGGCCGGACGGCGTCCCGATGGTGGTCAGCTGGCTCTGTTGTCCAGCAGCTCTCATGTGGCGCTGCTGTGCGCAAAGTCAACATCCGCTCCCCGCTTTAAGGCTCCACTTTACGCGATAGAATAGTTATAAGATATGTGTTCTTGATAAAAAAAAAAGGAAATAAAAGCTGCCATAGCTCTCACCGCTTTCCCCGCCCTGCTTAACGTTATTGGCTGATAAAGAAACTCCATCGAGGTTCGAATTCTAAGAGGGTTTTGACGCATATGTGTTGTTGTTTTTGTTTTAAGAGGACGCAAGCCACCCAGGGAGGCTCGAGTTTTTTTTTTTGTTTTTTTTTTTAAGTTTGACTCTCACTATAGCCTTACTGTACTTTTCCACTGGAGCAGGAAAAACTGTCACCGAATTAGTGCGACCTGTTGGCGGAGACGGGAAACTGCACAGAGAACCCCGAGAGGCCGAAAAGGAGCGGCGAAGTTTTGTCTGCTGTTTACTTAAAAACAAAAAAAAAATGAGCTCGGGGTTCTCCGGGCTGCTGCTGCTAGGGGGGATCTCCTCCAAACGGTGCCACACCGTGCGCGGGCTGTCAGCGCGCTCCCGGCGCTCACAGTCGACCCAGCAAACGAAACCACCATTTTTTTCTCTCTCTCCCCTAATTTTCTTCTTATCTCCCCCCCTCTCCTTATATATATATGTATATAATTTCTACAAACGGTACAACAAGAGGGCAAGTGGCTGCGCCTTGACGCTTTTCCGTACCTTTACTGAGAAAAAAAACTCCAAGTCCAAGCCGGAGCGGCAGAAACTGTGAAAAGAAATGTTTTTTTGCAAAAAAGAAAACGCGCCGCGTCCACTAAAGCGAGCTCTAAAAATGGGACCCTCACTTCTTTCATTGATGCTTGTGCGCTGAATTTGGTGACTTTTCCGGGCTGCGTCTCTTTCCCCTTCGCGTCGAAGGGGGGGGGGGGGGGGGGGGAAAAAAAAAAAAAAAAAAAAAAAAAAAAACCTTGTCCGCAGTATTTTTCTAACTCAGAAAAATCAACAACGTCGCCGCTGGCTTCTCGCGAGTTCGCTCCGTGCGCCCTTCAGCGGGTCCATCGACAACTTTTGACGCGCGTCAGCGGGAGGACGACAGTGGGGGGTGGAGGAGAAAAAAAGGAAATAACCCCAGAAAAGTCAGCGGGCAGTCGGCCGTTCATGGCGATCTGGAGGATTACTCCTCGCGGTGATCCGTCAAACGAGTGGCCCGACGTCCCGCTCTTTGCGCCGCGAGACCCGTCAGAACATTAAAGTTATATAATCCAGCCGCGGCGCTGTGCGCACCCAACTCCGGCAGGGCGAGCGGGCGAGGAGATGTCGTCAATGTCACGTAGATCACGTACTCACTTCCGTTTTGCCGTTTCAAAATAAAACGCGCATCTCGCTGAATTTGAACCCCCGTAATGAGCTCGATGTTCAATCTCTTCTATTTTACATAATCGAGATTCAACTGATTTCCCCATCGGACTCGACCCCGCTTTATTCATTCCAGGCTCAGCCCAAACCCAGTGTTGTAGCTTTTATTTTGAGTCTGAAAACCGACTTCCGCTCTGCTTCTGTTCGTCCGAACCAGCTTAAAGCAGCTGTTAGTTTGACACTTGGCGGTGAACGCCCCTTTGCCCACTTCAACTCTCTGCTGGGGAATCTGTCAGTGTCACCTCTAACCCCCAAGTTTAGGATTGCAGAGACAGCGAGCACGTCACCGGATTCGGATCTCCGACCCTGTTTAGGGTCTATTTAGGGTCACGTCGTGTGCAAAGGAAGGGGGAATCGCATGTTTGGAGATGAGATCATGTAGTTTGAATGAGCAACTCCCTTTTTTCTCAGCTCAATGTTGTGCATCAAACAGAAAATAGATTTGAAAAAGTCTACTTACAACAATATCCACGAGAGGACATCAAATAATGAACAATTTGAGAGTTAAAAAAGAGAAAGATAAACAAGACTCAAGCAGACAAAGTTTGGACACATTCATATCAGAAACCCGCTCATTAACACCCATCAGCACTGTCATTTCAGGCTACTTTTTACTTGTAGGGAATGAATGCCTGCAGCTCCAGAGAATTATTCTGTGATTGAGAGCAATCTTTGCAGATCTGCTGAAGAAGAGTCAGACTTGACAGCCAGCCAGTGTTTAGTTAAGCCACGCCCCCATTACGCAATCTCCAGAGACTATCTCCAAACAGACGTGTCTATCAACTGTCACTCCTCAATTTAAAAAAAATTAGAACTAGTTTGCTCAAAAGGATTATTTTTGGATGGCAGAAATAGAATGACTGATGGGAAAGTTAGCAGCAAACTGAGCTCCAGAAACTTGAAGCCTCGGCCCTGGTGGCTAACCTCATACATGGGAACTCCCTGCAAAGATAAACAGCTCAGAGATATTGTTTCCGCCAGAGGGTCCATTCGCTGAGCAACTTATCTCGCAGAATAACTTGGAGAGGGGGTATCGAGTCGCCCCTGACACCGAGAGTTGACATATGATCTGACGCAGAGTAAAAAAGGCTTTAAGAAGCTCTTATTATCAACAATAGTCAAGGCTTTGTGTCAGTAATACATCTGGATGATTTAAAAAGGCTCCATTTATAGGTTTAAAGGGCCTACGTCCATCATACTCGGCCTTAAAAGACCTTCGAAAAGCGATTTTTCCTGGATTCCTCTGACTGGACTAATGGAATGAACTGTTTAAATGATGTCAGCTCCATTTAAAGAAAAAAGAAAGACGCCACATCAGTCCGTGCTGTGCATTAAGGCCTCATAGGCCGGTCCGAACCAATGGCCAGATGAAGCGAAGGTAAAGGGGCGGGGGGAAGATGGGAAGGGGTGGCAGGTGTGGCCTTCCATTTGAGCCGCCCGATTAGAAGGAGCAGAATGTGTCCTGGGCATGCAGATGTCTCATTACCGAGCCAGTGTGGCTCAATAGAGGCGGGAGCTCCCCAGGGCACGAGAAAACCATACTGTTCTCAAAACATCGCCAGGGAACACTGTGAGTTTTCGACGCCGGGTGACAGTGGGTGATCCTATTTACTAATAAATAAGGAAAACATTGGACGTGCTGTGCCCCACGCGCATGTATGTGCAAATGGAAATTCAAGGAGAAGAATGCGGCCGCGGTTTTGCAACACGCGGCACAAGTCCATTTCACCGGCCTCTCACCAGCTCAGCGCGCTGCTGCAAGGACAACTGCCCGTGAATATTCATCCAGCACGCTCACACGCTGTGGAGGCCGAAGTCTGACTTTTAAAATGCACTTCACCTTCACAGGAAATAAATAAATGAATACCAAAAAAAGAAACAAGAAAAGTTTCTTGTTTAGATCAATTATGCTAATGCAGAAAGCTAAGGCATTCTGGATGTTGTCGGGCATGTTCAGTGGGGAAAAGAAATCCATCTTTTAAACATTCAAAGCAATCTGCTCCGCAAATAGTATTAATAAATGCAACTTGCATATAGTGTTATGATAGAGACGTGTGTTTTTTCAAATGATTCTGTTCTGAAATAAAGCTGAGTTGAGGTTCTTCTGTTCTTTAGGTGCAAAATGAGGATTTGCATCTAGGCTGCTTTTTCAATAACATGCAGGTTTGGATTCCAAGTCGGAATTTCCTTATTTCCGCCTTTAGAAATGGCAATTTGTGGGAAAAAAGGTAGACAAACAATGGTAACTGCAAAGAAATTCATCAAGCTATCATTATAACTTTCAAAAGACCAGCAGGATGACTTAGCTGAAGCAGACGGGGTGCTCACTCCACTTTGCATCCAACAAACCTGCAACCTTACTGCTAAAGTCAATGTGTGAAAAGCAGCCTATGAGCAGGAGGGAGGGAGAGAGGGGGAGAGAGAGAGAGAGAGAGAGAGAGAGAGAGAGAGAGAGAACAAAGCTTATGTAACAGAAAAAATGGAGCTCTTTTTCAAAGAATGATCTCGACCTCATTGGCTAATAGATGATGGATGTAATGTGCTTTGGTCTGAGTTACTGATACCAGAAATATCCAAGATTAAACCAAAAACGGCCTTTGCTAAATGTCAACAGATTCTGGTTGCAGAAACACATGCAGTCATTGAAGTTCATTAAATTCTCAGCACTTAAAAAACGTACTCATTCATTCCCACTAATACCGGCACTTTATTCACAAAACAAAACAATGTTACTATTTAAAAAAGTATTTGCTCT